CATTCTAAGGGTTCGGACAAATGTATAACGACATGTATCCACCATTGTAGCGTCATACAGGGTAATTTCACTGTGCTGAAAATCCCCTGTGCTCCGTCTCTTCATCCCTCCCTCCCCCCAATCCCCCGGCAACCGCTGATCTTTTTTTTTTTTTACTGTTTCCTTAGTCTTGCCTTTTCCAGAACATCCGCGTAGTTGGAATCATACACTATGTAGCCTTTCCAGATTGGCTTCTTTTACTTAGTAATATACATTTGAGGTTCCTGTGTGTCTTTTTATGGCTTGATAGCACATTTTGTCTCAGCACTGAATAATATTCCATTGTCTGGATGTATCACAGTTTATCCATTCACCTACTGAAGGACATCTTGGTTGCTTACAGTTTTTGGCAATTATGTATAAAGATGCTATAAACATCCTTGTGCAGATTCCTTTGCCCATTTTATAAATTATTTGTCTTTCATTGGGTTGTGGCCATTTTTTATACATTCTAGATATAGTTCCCTCATCAGATCAGTTGCAAACATTTTCTCCCATGCTTTGGGTTGTCCTTACTTTCTTGATGGTATCCTTTGAAACACAAAAGTTTAAAAGTTTGATTTCTAGTTTATCTATTTATGTTGTTCCTGTTGCTTGTGCTTTTGGTGTCATATTAAAGAGATCGTTGCCTAACCCAAGGTCATGAAGAGTTACGTTTTCTTCTGAGAATTTCACAGCTATAGCTCTTACATTTAGGGCTTTGGTCCATTTTGAATTACTTTTTATATATGGTGTGATATCTTTATCTTTTTATAGACACAGACTAAAGAATTTAGAGGTGAATATACAATGACTGTAATTTAGTCAGACAAAACAGATGAGGCAAATATGGCAATTTTTTTTAGATTCATTTCATTTATTTAAGAGAGAGAGAATACAAGTGGGGAGAGGGGCAGCGGGGGAGGGGGGAGGGGAAGCAGACTCCCCACTGAGCCCACTGAGTGGGGCTGGACACGGTGGGGGGTGGGATCCATGTGGGGGTCGGTGTGGGGGTTGATACAGGGCTCCACAAGAGGCTCGATCTCGCCACCCTGAGATCATGACCTGAGCTGAAATCAAGAGTCGGGAGCTTAACTGACTGAGCTACCCAGGCACACCAAATCTGGCAAAATTTTGATAGCTGCTAAACCTAGGTGATAGGTTTATGGATGTTAATTCCACTCTTCTCTATTAAAATTTTTTCTTTAAATGATAGAAAATAAAAGGAAATGATATAGAAATAAAAATCAGAAAAAAACTTGAGTGAAAATGTCACTAATAAACTTGTATTTATTTTAACTTGCATTTTAAAGTAAATTATTTATAAACTCTAGCAGTTTATAATCAGTTAGAAATTATTTGCCACACTCCTAAGAAAAACACCCAATAGAATGGATGCATCAGGGTGTCTTGGCACTGCTCTTAAGAACCAGTGTTCTGGAACTCCTTGCTCTTATAGCAACTGCTAGCCACATGTGGCTGTTGAGCCCTTGAAATACACTGAGTCCAAATTGAGACGTGCTGTAGGTGAAAAGTATACACTGGATTTCAAAGACTTCATATGAGCAAAAAAAGAATGCAAAACATCTCATTATTTTTTTTTTATATTGATTACATGTAGGAGTGATAACATTTGGGACATATTAGGTTAAATAAAGTGTGTCATTAAAATAACATCACTGGTTTCTTTTTACTCTTTTTAAATATGGCTACAAAAAATGTAAATTTTGTATGTGGCTTGCGTTATACTTCTTTTGGACAGCACCGTTCTGGAGAGAAAAGGACTGAGTTCAAAGGCCTGCATTCTGATTCCTTTGCTGCCTTTTATTAGCCATGTAACTTTGGGCCATTTCTTCCATTTCTCAGCCCTAGGATAGTTGGGAATAAATTCATTCTGCAAATATTGAGGGCTCTAACTATATACAAAGATCTTGGCTAAATGATGTGGGGAATACACGATGAGAAACTGTTCACGAACTCAAATCAGTGTTTTCTCATATTAGCCCTATTGATGAGTCAGTGAAGGTAGAAGCCAACAATGGAAATATCTTATTTTCTCCCCTAACATTTTAGCTTCAAATAATGAATATTTTACAATATGTCCAAATTCTGAGATCACGTATACGTATGGCATATGTTCAATTCATCCTGAGTCTTGAATCTTTGTACGTGTGTTCCATTTTCCTGGAGGCTCTCTCAACTCCGCATTCTGTCCAAGAAGTACACTGTGGTAGACCATTGGTGGACTAGCAGATCTAGTATTGACGCCCGTATGTGGTCCCATACCATACCGATGCTGGTTTTGCCACATAACTTGCTTTGACCAATGGGACATTGGCAAATTTGATAATACCAGAGGCTTGATAAGTATTTGCTCATTGAGACTTATCTTCTTGGAACACTCCTTCTTGGAACCCTGCAGCCATTCTGTGAGGAAGCCCAAAGAGCCCTGAGGAAAGGTCCGTGTGGAGGAAAGGGACAGGGGTTCGTTCAGACAAGTGGTTCTCAAGCTGGCGTGATTTTACTCCTTAGGGGACATTTGGCGATGTCTGCAGAGACTCAGTTGTCACAACCGGTGGGAAGTGCTATTGGCATCTAGTGGGTAGAGGCCAGGGATGTTGCTAAACATCCTCGGATGAACAGGACAGCACCATTGCAAGGAATTACCTAGCCCAAATGTCAATAGTGGCAAGGTTGCGAAACCTGCTCTAGACCAAGATCTTGTCAGAACAACCTGGGTCCTCTGGGTCAAAGATAAAGGGCTTCAGAGAGAAAGTGTTTGCACTTAAATGAAATCACCTACAACTGTTTTTAAAGCCTGCACATTTACCAGTGACAGCTTTCTGGGCAGTCTGCTACTCATGATGATTTTAGATGATCCCAGTGGTACATTTCTCCTTGTTTACCCTCAGCATTCAAGCCTAGTAATTCATCAAAGGGTTGCACCAACAACCATTTTCTTAGTTGCCCCCACCTAGATCTTGCTTCTCCCTGGTAGTATTGAAGTCATGGTTTGTGAGGATTCAACCCTAGCTTCCAAATCCCCAACCATTAACATTCTCGGAGACCAGGGGCTTTAACTTCTACTGTATGACAGAGTCCATCAGTTTTGTTAGCGAAGAACCATGGCCCTGCCATGCTAACAAGAAGCCACTTTCCCCCGGAAAAGAACATGTATATAGCTTGTCTATGAGAAAAATTTTAAGGACATAAAAATTACAGTAATATTGTTAGTAGAAAATTCTATTAGGAGAGTTTAAAAATAATTACATTAGCAGACTCATTCAATAAAAATTTTAGACATATGGTTGAGTATCAGTATAAATCTCATTGCTATGGTAATTAACTGTAAAACACATAGATAATAAATCATTGCAAGTAGGGTTGGGTTTTTTTTTTTCTTTTTTAATAATAGAGCACATACACGTCTCCAGGAAGAATGAAAAAGGGGCAGAAATGCTGCCAGAATTGGTGCTTTTGGACAGCTTTTTGGTAAGCAGACCGATTGAGGAGTTTCAAGAAACACTTGATGTGCTAGGTAATCAAATTTGAAAAGTACATGGGCCCAGATGAAAAATCCCAATTACATGAATAATCCCAGGAATCCCCCAAATCCCAATAATAGGAAGTCAGTTTACAGTGGGCTACAACCCGCCTGCAAGTAGCCTTCTGTGTGGATGGAGGGCCAATTCTTGTCAACGTTAGGTAAAACCCAGCCATTTATCTGACCTGTTTAATCTGTTGCCACTGAGAAGCATTAAATTGGCCCGCATCACTAACATGCGGGTCCTCCGTTGCCACATAATACATTCCTTTCCCCTACGTTTGATTTGTGCCCAGGGGTTGGCTCCAGGACTGCATTTGCTTGAGAAAATCTTTTTTGCTCTGGTCTGCAGGGAGAGAGGGGAAGGCAGTCGGCTCCAGGGCTATGGAGAGCCGTGGGGGGGGGGGGCGGCGCGGGACCACCTGGTGGGAGTGGGGGCGCTGGGGGTGAGGTTCCCGGGGTCAGGCCTTTGAGAACTCAACAGGCAAGAAGTTTGCAAAACTGGCCTGATGACTACCTAAAAATGAGGAATCTGGAGGGGCCTTGGTTTGATCCAGTTCACCATCACCATGGAGAGCAACCTTGCCCCTCGATCTGTGGTCAGGGCCCAGATGGCCACCGGCATTGTGGCTTTTTCAAGGACACAGGGCCATTCTGTAGTTCAGGCACCAGCGAATTTTAGCTAAGGACTAGATAGTAAATAATTTAGGCTTTGTGAGCCACAAAGCAAAATGGAGAGGTTATTATGTGGGTACGTACATAACGAGAGAAAACAAATTTTCACAACATTTTTATTGACAAAACATAATAATTTAGTACAACTTTTTGCAGTACACACCTACTAATGAGAGGAAAGGGTTGTGTTTATTTTTGAAGGGGATACTATTTTTCTTAATTGGGTTGCGAACGTAGTACAGCTATGATCACACAGATTGCAAATGTTCATGTGTAAAAACAGTGCTTAGGTCTCCGGTACAAAAAGGCAGCGCTGTGGATCTGGCCCGCGGGCCACAGTTTGAGAGACCCTTGTAGATGCACACCAGTCGTCTGCGGTGGGTTTGGGGGTATTCCGGAGTAGGGGGGGGCAGCTCCTGGTTGCTAGACACGTCCGTCGCCTCTTCCTGCACCTCCCTCGGTGCCCAGTGAGGCTGGTCCATTGGCCCTCCCTCTCCAGGCAGGGCAGAAAGGTCAAGAATGGGGCCCAGAGCTCTCCCTCTTCAGCCCCTCCTCCCCCCAGCTCCGCCCCCTCCAGCTCCTCCTCCTCCCGGTCCCGCCGCGGCGCTTTCCCGCTCCTCCGCCCCCTCCAGCTCCACCCAGCCCCGCCCCCTCGAGCCCCGCCCCGACTCCGCCCCCTCCAGCTCCCTTCCACTCCGCTCCTCCTTTGGTCGACAGCCGCGCTTTCCCGCTCGCGTCGCAGCCTCCGGTGCCACCGCCGCCTCCGCCATGCCCAACATCGTGCTCTTCAGCGGCAGCTCGCACCAGGACCTGTCCCAGCGCGTGGCCGACCGGCTGGGCCTGGAGCTGGGCAAGGTGGTCACTAAGAAGTTCAGCAACCAGGAGACCAGGTGGGGGCCGCGCCGGCGGCCGGGCCGGGCCGGGGAGGGCGCTGGGCGCGCGGCTGGGGGCCGGGCGGGGACCGTCGCCCGCCCGGGACCACTCCGCGGCCGCCCGCTCCCCCTTCCGGGGCGGGACGGCCACGACGCGGCCTCCGCGCCACCGCTGCGGCGCCCGGGAGACGCGGAGGAGGGCGGCCCCTGGCCCGGAAGGGCGACCTCGGGGCGGTCACAGCGTCGAGGAGAGGTGGGCGCAGGCCGGCGGGAACCGCCTCGGTGCCGGGCACGCGGCGAGGGACGCCCCTGGCTGTGCTCGTCCGGTTTCCCCGTCCCCTCCAGGCTGGTCCCAAACCCCGGGCGTGCGAGGGACGGCTCCGCCCACGTCCCCAGCCCCGGCAGCGCACTGCATTCACCTGGGGTCGTTTAGAAAGCTGCTTGCCCTCCTTGCCCCGGAGCTTCGGATCCCGCGGGCAGGGCGGGGTGGGGGGGGGGTGGAAATCTGCGTTTTCAAAGCTGGCAGATGACTCCCCGGCAGCCTGGGCGCGGACCTCTGGGTTGAGCAGAGGGGGTGTTTGTGCGGAGGGTTTAAAGAGCGCGAGAGCACCAGAGCGCACGTGCTGGTGTCCGTGGGCTTCCTCTCATTTTTCTGCCTCAAGGCCCCGGGCCCGGCGTAACTGCCACCCGTGTCTCAGGTCCGGGAGCTGTGGTCATCTCCGTTCCGTTAGGTCAAGCCGGCGCCCCCTCCCCCCGAAACGAGACAGGACTCCGTTTTCCACCTGCCCGAGTCCGCAAAGCTCTTTGACCAGTTTCAAGTGGGTCTCCTTTTTAGCTCTCTCGCGTAAGTGTCCAGCACTCTACGCAGTTACTGATCATTTCTGTATCTGGCACAAGTCCAAAGCAACCAACACTTTCAACAAGTGGTGCTAGAAGAATCGGTGTGAGCTGCCAAAACGGCAACAAAAACCAGATAGACTTCCCACCGTTTCAAAACTTAACTTGAAATGGATCGTAGACTTAAATGTAAAGCCTGGAACTAAACCTTTGTAGAAGAAAACCTCGATGACTTTTGGATTCGTCAAAAATTTCTTAGATACTGAGGAGTTAGATTCATATATATGGGGACGATGGTGTTTGTTGAGTCAGCTTTATAGGATCTGTGAAGCCCTTCTTCCAGGTGGGAAATCAGCATGCATACGTAGCCCTGTTGCTAATGTAAGTGAAGAAACGTTTGTGAAGGAGTAATAGGTGCTATACCTGCCAGGAGTCCTTGAGCCAGACATTTCCGCTTTGCAGGGTTTAATACAGAAGTCTGGAGACATGGTGGAGGGCTCTGGAAAAGGATAGTGTAGCTAGGTTCGAATGCTGTAATATCTTGCCAGTCCTAGTCAAGTTTGAGTAGCTGTTAAGAAGAGTGGGATAATAGTTTTTGTTCAGGAAGTGGCGTCGTGTAAGTAGAGGAGAAATTCTGGGTGAAGTGGATTTGAAAGCAAATACGTTGCCCTTCCATGTTCTCCCCGTGCAGCGCCATCCTTTACTGCTGGAGCATAGTTAATCTAGCTCAGAAGTCCTTTGCGAAGTCATTGTTGGATTTCTGCTCAAATGAAGTCTGGGAATTGCTTGCATAGTTACATTGTGTTTTTTTATTTTGTTTTTGTTTTTTTTTTTATTTTTTTTTTAACAATTCACTCTTCAAAGATTTTATGTATTTCGAGGGAGCTAGAGTGTGCTCGAGAGCTCACGTGATCAGGGGGAGGGGCAGAGGGAGAAAGAAGCTCAAGCCGCCGACTCCGAGCTGAGCTGAGCCCAGAGCCCAATGCGGGGCTCAATCCCAGGACCCTGAGATCATGACCTGAGCCGAAATTAAGGGTCGGACGCTTAACTGACTGAGCCACCTGGGCACCCCTGTTTTGTTTTTTAAGTGATCTCTACACCCTCGGAAGGGCTTGAACTCACGATCAAGACTCACATGCTCCCCGACTGAGCCAGCCAGGCGCCCCAACATTATATGTTTTTATTATTTAGAATATAACAGGTTAGCTTCCTGACTTTTCTTTCCTGTGAACTGTCTAGTCCAGAGGTTCATTTTTACAAGCCGTCCTCTCTGTACTATGTATTGTACTTACGATCTGATTTGTACTGTGTGGTCCTAGAGATGAGAAACGGGGTAAAAGGAAGAGAAAATTGATTTAGTTCATGTAAGAGACCCCTTCCTGAACCTCTCCCCTGAGCCAGAACCAGAAATCTGCTTTGATGTCTCCTGGTCTTCACTCCTTCCATTCCCTTTTTTTTTTTTTTTTTTTTTTTTAGGTTTTGATTTTTCAGTAATCTCTATACCCAACGTGGGGCTCAAACTAAGAACTCCAAGATCAAGAGTAGCACGCTTCTCCAACTGAGCCGGCCAGGCGCCCCTCCAGCCTCGTTCCCCCCCTTTTTTTTTTTTTAAGATTTTATTTATTTGAGGGGCGCCTGGGTGGCTCAGTTGGTTAAGCAACTGCCTTC